GACCTATTTGAAATTCATGACCAAAATAGGGACCTACGGAGACATTAAACCATATATTTACAATAAAACATCATGGTATAGAATACAAACTAAATAATATTACAAGCATAAAGACATTCATGATTCTTTTATACTCATCTAGGTTAAACACAATCTCTTCATAACTAAGTGTATTAATATGCCCAATCTATTGATAAAGATTTCTTTCAATTCTCACTTTAAGTATTTTTTTCTATGAGTTCAATTATTAGTAAAATCAAGACAATTTTACCATAAATTTTAATATCAATACACTCTACACATCAAACAAATATAGTAGCATTTTCTCTTAGAAATTATTACCTTTTCATCTATCAAACCATAACAATTTCTTTTATCATAAAGCATGTTCATATTGTAACATTGATAAGATATTGTCCGCTTTGGGCCAAGCCCTCACGAATTTGCTTTTGGTACCACTCCAAAAGGCCTCTTAACAATGGAGATATGTTATGAGTATATAAACCCATGTTCATCTCTTATTTTATCCGATGTGGGACTTTGTTTGTACCCAACACATATTCCTTTAAAACACTAATTACTCCAAAAACACAATAGTTTCTCAAAGATCACTCATATATCAGAACATATATTCCATACAACATGTGATAGACTTGTCCAACAAGTTGATTTACTCACTCAGCGAGTTATCCCTGGAAAGACACCCACTTAGCGAACAAATGGCTCGCTCAACAAGTCCAATAATGTAAAAAAGTGTATAATAATTCGTCTAGTGAGAGAAAATTTATCCAATGATCCATCCTCCTTTGACTCTATCAAATATGAAATTGACTTTCGCTCAACAAGAGTCTACTTGTCCAATTAGCAGACATACTCTAACTTTTTCAAACCCAAAATTGACATTCACTAAGCACTAAGGAGTTTGCATAACACAAACTTAAAAATGCATATATGGCAGTACTCATAACTCTAATTAAATGTTTTATTTCTTTATATCAAAAGAGAACCAATGTCCTTAAATTGATTCATTGAAATTACAAGTATCCTTTCAGAGTGCTAACCCCAAATTTCACAACTCAGAAAATGAATTTAACAAGCATCATGCATAATACATTTTCATTTGACATATACTAAGCTAACTCGAAATAAGATTAATCTATACATTTGAGATCACAACCACGATATGGAAACCATTCAATCTAAATCATAATTACCAAGTATCACCAAGTCAATCCAAATAAAACAAAAATGACAATAATTATATCTAGCTCCCTTTACCCTGTCTGATACTCCTAAATCTTTTTAAGACACTTCTCCATCATATTAATCTCACAAGTAACTCTATTTACACACATGAACATCAAATCAATGATATGATCATACCACCAAGACCAGAAATAGGCAGAGAATCATTTTGAGCATACTTGAGTCACATGCAACCTAATCATACTCACACGCAATTGATAAACACAAATTTGATTTTATAAAAGGTAGAAAAGAACTCACTCCATTTACGGTTATTGGATAAAGTTGTAGATTATCTCTTGTGAACTAAATGGTGATCTCTAATAGAAGAACAAATAAATGATGAATTATATTTCTTAGAGAGAAATCAGAAAAAGATTAAGAATTTTTTTTAGAGATAGTAAGGTTTTATAAAAATGAACTCGAAATAGAAAAATCTATTTATAGGTAGTTATTTTTTAATAAAATATTCGAGTATCATTTTATTAAACTCTATATAATTTAAATAATCATTTTCTATGAATTTATTTTTTTTAAAGATAAGAGCATCTATAGAGATGATTTTCTAACTAGTTATTTTTTTGAAAAAAAAAATTGAAGAATAAATCTTATACAATACGTCGAATTTCTTGGGCTTAAGAAAACTGTGTATAAGGAAAATTAAAAAAAGAAAACCTTGAATTTTCAAGTAAAGTTTTTAAATAAATATTTTTGAGATAGAATTAAAAAAATATATAAAAGCATCCTTTTTATCTAAAAAAAAAAGTGATACTATAGAAGAAAAATTAAATGTGTTTGACATGATAGAAATCACAAAAGTGTTGTGCAGACCATAAGAAACAATTTAAGAAACTCTTGTAAATAATGCTTTTTAAAATACCCTTTGAACTTTCTGTAACTTTCATTATATCTATCTTTACTAATGTTAATAACTCCATTTATTATTATTTTTTTACTTGAATCATGAAAGCTAATCATTTTTTATTTTTTAATGCAATTTTAACTTAATTATTTTTAATATAATTTTAAATGAGTTATCAATTATATCTCTTTCAATTTTCTTATTTCAAAGTATGTATATCTGGTATCAGTTTTTTCTATTCAATATTATAACTAATTTTTCTCTTTCCATTTTAATAAATTAAAAATGATGTTAACAAATTATATTATCTTAAAACTTTAAAATTAACAAATTACAACATGTCATAAAAATTTTTGTCTCGAAAGATGGTCGTGTGTTGTTTGCTTACATGTCATCCAATTATTAGTGGATTTTAGAGCTTTGGTTTGAAAATATCTAAGCTCGAATCACGAGATCCACCTCACTCATCATCCACTTTTGGTTCATGCAACCATTCTCTATTCTCCATTCTGTATAAATTCAACACTCTCCTACACTTTTCTTCAACCATTCACTGCACAACTCATTGTGCCATTCGTTGCCTTATTGCAGATAAGACCAACCATTCTTCCTTCAGGTCCTCTCTCTTCTCATTTTTGGTGTGTTTTTCATCTGTTGTATGTGTCCTGGTATTCTTTTACCTCTATGCACACACATATGTGTTTATTTTCCCTTTTGATATTTTTTGGATGATTGGTAGACGGCAGACGACAGTACAGAGTCGACGGAAGACGGCGGCGCATGGTGGACGACAACACAAAGTAGAGTCAACAACAGCTCTTGACGGCAGCGGTGGTACAGGCGGCGAAGAAGAATCAAGGTTAGCTTCTTTCAAATACTTTCGTGTTTTTTCTAAAGATTGTTGTGTCCCATTTCATCAATGATTCATAAGCTACCAAATCACTTATGGAGACCCCTGCAGATTCCTTTTCTGAGAATTTCATTTTCCCTTTTTTTACCTAAAGCAAGTAACAAAATTGTATGTATAGATATATAGATATATAGTCTCTCCCATCAAAGTGCTAATTGTTGATTATGTTTTGAGAATTTTCAAACAAATGGTGTCAGAAATTGTGGCTTTTAAATAAAAATTGTTAACTGGTTCCCATAAAGTTTTCTTGGATATTGATTTTGTTTGATTGCAGAAAATGCTATCCAATGTATTCGTAGACAAAGGTCAAGGGTTTAATTGTTTTTTTGTTGAAGGAAAGTATGTAAAAATTTGTCTGTATGCGTAGCATTCTTCCTTTGCAACTTTGGTGCATGGATATTAGGAAACCAAGTGTCATACAAAATGGACCCACCATTATCTCAGTTGCCCCTTTAGGATTTTGGTGAAAAAAAA